AAAAAACAAAAGGACAGGTAGGGGGTGTACCTTCCGAATCAGGACTCTGCTGACATTACGGAAACATCGTAGAGAACGACGATCGTTGTGTCATCCCTACAAGTCGGTCAGGCTTAACAACACTGCTAAGTTTTAGTGATTCGCTCTGCTATAAGCATACGCGCCCCACTGGGCGAGCGACGAGATGGGATCCGAGACACGGCATATATCCGGTGTAGTTTTAATTGATCTCAGTACACACTGATGTTAGTTTCCACGCCATCCACGAAGTTCACGATACTTGAAACACATCAGTACGAGATTTGGGCATATTTTCTCTGATAGCTGGTAAAATGGGATCATTAAGTGAGATTGGATTTCCGTTACGCAATTCAATCCAAAAGATTCTATCAAAACACGCGTGCTACTGCAATTGTTTGCCTCATCTGAAATCTTAGAATCCAGCTTCTGACGCGGTTGTAGAAGTTGCTACCACACCACACATTATGCAATTTTTACGGTAACTAGCTACCTCTTATCTTCTTCTCCATTCCTTTTGAACTTCTTCGACTGATACTGGTACTACCCAGCCGGCGGAACTGGAACTGTACCACACCCTTCCTCCCCATCAATGCTTCGCTCAAAGTGTATGTTTGATACGTAATCCAAGAGCCCATGTTCACTGAATAGGGCAAATAGACCCTCACGACTATAAGCACAAGTATCCATGACATTATGCCCAAACATAATTTGTACGACGCAAGCCAAACGCTTTCCGATGTCTTCGGCTCGGCAATTCCTAGGTTGACTAGAAAACTGAACTGATACATCGAGTGCTCCGCCCGCCATTCGGCCACGAAATATCTGTTTTCCATGGTCAAGTGCTGTGTCAAGGAAGCCATTTGCCTCAAACCGGTCGCCCTGAGTAGAAAACCGCCTGACTTCAACACCTATACGTCCTCCTAGCCTTACTTTGACTAGACAGTCGGATAGGAGCATCTACATTCCTTTCTGCTTATCAAGATTTAATCCTTCTTTTTCTTTTAGCTCTCGGTGCGCTATATCCTAACAAGCGTTCATCAGCTGTCTATCTGCTGAGTTCTAATCTCCTACCCAATTAGTCCCAAAAGCAAGATTTGTACCTGGCTACTAGTATGAGGGTTGCCACCCCACCGCTTTTTTTACTCCATCAACCAAACTCATCTTGTTCAACAAAACGGCTCCCCCACCCCCCCCCCCCCCCCCCCCACCCCCCCCACACCCCCCCCCAACCCACACCCAAAACACCCCCAACCCCCTTCCATCACGCTGATCCAGCCAGCCCATGTCGCCACTTTGTTGATTGCCTTAGCGATGTCCCGAATATCATCCTCGCTCATGTGCTCGTGGATGCCACGGACGGCGACTGTTCTCAAGCCTTCGACTGCGCCGGGGACCAGTTCGGGACCGTAATGGTATTCACGGCTGACATACGGACTGTTAAACGGGAACTGGCTATCGCCGTATGTATGTCCCTTTGTCAGGAAGTCGCCACGCATATAGATTGGATCCTTGATGTAATGGGCACCCATTGAGACACCTTCGGCGGAGACAACCCTACAAAACTCATCGGGGTCATGCCCGGTGACGTGGAAGATATAGTTCCACCAAGAAACCTCGCGGTCGTCCGGCAGCGGGACACCCTCAACGCCGGGAGCATCGGCAATCAGTTCGGTGAGTAACTTTCCGAGCACGATTCGTCGCTCGACGACATCCCGCAGTTTCTCAAGTTGCGCCAGACCGACAGCACCCTGCATCTCTGTCATTCGGTAGTTTGGGGCGAGGAAGGCGTGGTCGCGGTCTCCCATGTACTGATAGTCCCACCCTTTGTCCGAAAAGAGTTTCAGACGGATATAGGTTTCCTGATCGTTGGTCAGAATCATCCCGCCGTCTCCCGTGGTCATGTGCTTCGATTGCTGGAAACTGAAGCATCCCATGTGCCCAAATGTCCCGGCGTAGCGTCCCTTGTACTTTGTTGCGTGGGTCTGGCAGCAGTCCTCGATCAGGATGACGTTATGCTTTTCGGCGATTTTCAGGACTTCGTCAATGTCGCATGGGTGACCAAAAGATGCACCAGAATAATGGCGCGGGTGCGGTCGGTGATGTTCGCCTCAATAGATTCGGGGATCATGTTCAGGGTCTTGGGATCTACATCGGCAAAGACGGGCACGGCGTTCTGCATGAGGATTGGCATAACGCTGCCGGGATCGGTGATCGGCGCGGTGATGATTTCGTCGCCGGGGTTGGGATTGACCACACCGACCGCTGTGTGGATGGCAGCGGTTCCCGCTTGTTGATGCCTGTGCGTGCTGTGTGCCGTAAAACGCAGCGAATTCCTTTTCTAACTCTTTGACGAACGTTCCACTTTTGGCAAAAAGGGTTTGGCTACGCACCGCCTGAAGCAGAAGTTCTTCTTCACGTTCACCGAACGGGGTGCGTTCCGGAAAGGGTTCGGTTCTTACCTTTGGTCCACCGTGGATGGCGAGTTTTTCCATTTATATCTCCTTATTCATATCGGGGTTTGATTCATCTTTTGTTATCGTCCGTGATCCATTTCTTTTCCATGTCTCTCGAATCGCTCCAACATCTCTATCGCCTCATGCCCCTCTTCCGAATTGGGGATATGCCTCTGCGAGTTCCCGCAAAAGTTTTAACGCGCTGCTATGGTTGCGCTCATGCTCCAACTGATAGTGCGCGAGATGCAGCTTCGCTGACAGGGCTTTCTGTCCACCGGGGGCAAGGACTAAAATCTGGTTTATCTGATCAAGTGCTTTATCAAACTCTCCCTTTCACACCGTAGCATTCCGCGAGGCGTTCACGCGCTTGGAGTGTGATTAGCAGATCGTCATAATCTCTCGATGAGCCGTGCATTAACCTTGATTGCCTCATCCCAATCATCCTGCCATTCGGCGATGACAGCCAGACCGCGCAACAGTCCCAATGCAGCGGCAGGGCTGGTCGCTCTGTCCACGGCTTGACGGAGTATTCTCGCAAGTTCGGGAAGTTTACCTCTCGCTTCCAATTCGGGGAGGATGCCTTCTTCATGCGATTCTTCGATGAAACGGCGGATGACTTGAACGCGCAGATGCGGATTTGGGTGAGCGAGGAGGGATCTAAAAAAATCAACCGCTTTTTCGCGTTGATTGGTCTCCCAGTACATTTCGAGGAGTCGCAGCATGGCCTCTTGGGCATGTTGGGTTTGGGGATAGGATTCTATGAGCTCTTTGAGTGTTGATTCTGCGCGCTCGTAGTCGGAACTGTCGACATAGATTGCGGCAAGATTGATTAATACCTCTGTATCAAATCTGTCAGGCAAGCCCTTGACGGAGAGTTGAGTCAGCAGCTCTACCGCTTGCTCCGATTCACCTAGTAGTTGGTGTAGTTGTGCGACACGACGGAGTGCCCAGCGCGCTTCATCTGTGCCACGAAATTCGCTGGCGGTGAGAAACGCTTTGAAGGCAGCCTGCAAGTCGCCTTTCTCTTGGTGTATATCGCCTAGCATTGACCAGAGATGGACGACTGTCCAGTGTGTGGGATTGGTTTCGATCGCTGCATTGCAAGTCTCGATCGCGCGGTCAAATTCCCCTATTTCTTGATAGACTCGAGCGAGTTGGACGGAGGCTTCAATATGGTATGGATGGTACTTCCGTATTTTCTCGAACAGTTCGATTGCCTGTTGATGTTCCCCACGGTCACAGTAGTGCTCGCCCAGACGGAATGACAACCAGAACGTTTTTTCTTGAAAGGGATACTGTTGGAGCATCTGATCAATTCGTCGGCGGGCATCTTCAAGCCGACCTCGCTCTCGGTAGGAGTCGATGATTTGCTCCATCGTCTCAAGTACGAAGTCCTCTCCGATGAATTTCGTTTCGATTGTGTCTACCAGTTTGTCGGCGTTATCGAGTTTCCCTTTCTCAATCGCATAGTGAAGCTGCCACACCAAGACCTCTCTCTGTTCTTCGGGGGAGGAAATCTCAACTTCAGCCAAAATCGCTTGTGCTTTCTCAGGTTGTCCGAGCGCAGTATAGCATTCGCTTAGCTTTAGGCGTGCCCAGTGTGATTCCCAGCGCGCTGAATCATAGGCAATCAGGCGTTCGCATTCTTTGATGACGATTTGGTACTGTTTTTGGTGGAATAGTTCTTCTATCTCTTCGATGGGTTTGGCAACGAAGTCCTCCACTTCAGTGGATGCGGGGCCATCTTCTGCGCCGGAGGTTGAGGGAATTGTTTCGGCGTATCCCCATTGACATATCGCCAGCACAATTAGGAGGAAAATGGTGAAAATCTGCATTATCTAGACACCCTCACAATGTGTGAGCGGACAACCCCCCCTGCAACGGTCAATCGTTGCTGACGGGTGAAAGTGCGTGGACGCGTGAATCCTTCGCCGGTGGGGCCCGCAATCGTCATCGCGAGGAATCCCTCACCATCAATTCCAGCGCAAGCGTAGGAGGGAGCATTTACAACGACAACGTTGCAGTTCATCGTCTGTGTAAATTGTGTGATTCGTGCGCTGCTGTTGGTGTGGAGCATTGCGGTATGTCCACGTCCCCCATCTGCTGCCAGAGCACCTTTCAGTGCTTCATCAAAATCACGTCACCCGAACCACCGGAAGCACTGGCATCAGGTATTCGTCAACAACAAAGGTGTGGTCGCCGGGGACTTCAACGACGACGGAAACCGTCTCTGTTTTCGCCCGTATTCCTGCTGCGTCAAGAATAACGCTTGCATCTTTACCGATGTAGTCGATGTTGGGGTCGCCATTTTGGATCACGACATCTTCGACAGCTTGCCTCTCTCGCGGATTGGTCAAGTAACCGCCGCTGTTCTGCAGCTCACGGATAACTTCATCAGCGACAGATTCAACGACAAAGAGGGCTTTTTCGCCGATGCAGAGTAGGTTGTTGTCAAAGCTGTTTCCGAGTATAACCTTCTTCGCCGCCTCCGTTGGATCTGCGGTTTCGTCAATGATGGCTGGTGGGTTACCGGGACCCGCTGCGATCGCCTTCTTGCCGCTGGTAAGTGCGGCTCTCACAACGCTGCCGCCGCCCGTGCAACGACCATTGCGATATCCGGGTGGTCCATAATCTCCTTCGCCCGCCGCAACGTCGCCTCTGCAAACGGCTGTGAGCATATTGGGAGGTCCCCCCGCTTTGACAACCGCTGCGTTGATGACCTTTCATCGTTTCCTGTGTGCATCTCTGTGCATTCGGGTGTGGACTGAATACAACCGAATTTCCAGCTGAGAGCATAATGATTGCGTGGTTGATGACAGTCGATGTCGGATTTGTGGTCGGAGTGATTGAATTAATCACACCAAAAGGGAGGTACTCCACAAGCAGCAGCCCTGTATCTCCGGTTGTTGCTTCCGAACTCAAATCTTCCACGCCGGGCGAAAGGTTTGCCCCACCGTCATTCTTCATCACCTTATGCTCGACAACTCCCATTTTGGTATCTTCGACAGCGATCTCTGCGAGGGACCTTGAATGTTCAAGCGCAGTTCGCCTGATAGCTTCAATGATCTCCCGACGTTTGGCAAAGCCGAGCTTTACGAATTCCACTTGTGCGGCTTTGGCAGCAGCAATCGCTTGATCCACAGTGGGAAAGATCCCTGTGTCGGACGCACCGGCAGCTGTGGGTTGAGATGTTGTTGTCGGTAAGCGTTGCCCATCATTCTGAAGATTCCTGATGACTTGTGCAACAATCTCCTCAATCTGTGTTTCGTTGATTTCCGCCATGCGTACCCCCTTAATCTATGATGCGGATGGGAAATTCAGGCTTCTGATACGAACTCTCGATCCGTGTGTGACAGATCACAGAGAAAGCCTCCCCCAAGAGCCTACCCTACACTTATCGAAGGATTCAGGCCGACAGGAGTCGTATTATCCGCGAGTCAACATATTTTCAACTTCTGCGTGTGGACGCGGAATGACATGCACGGAAACCAATTCGCCAACAGTCTTTGCGGCTTCAGCCCCTGCTTCCACTGCGGCTTGAACCGCCCCAACATCACCACGAACCATGACGGTCACCAAACCACCGCCAATCTCTTCTTTGCTAACGAGCGTGACGTTGGCAGCCTTGACCATTGCATCTGCTGCTTCAATTGCACCAACCAAACCTCTTGTTTCAATCAATCCTAATGCTTCACCCATGTTATTTTCCTCCTAGTTGAATTGCCATTTTGAAACATCTTTCATTGTAACAAGATCGACAACGCTTATCAAGGAAAAAATCCGCTATTCGACGACAGATTTCAAATAGAGCTGTTCATGCCCCTTCATTAAAAACTCTTGACAAGGATCTCTTGAAATGCTATTCTTTGTCTCTGTTTCCGTCAAAAGCTATTGTGGTGTGGCACTGTCTGATCTATACGATGGCTTCGTCCGATAATCAATGAGTATAATTAACCGCTGGAGGGCCCTGACGAACAATGCCTAAAGAACCAATCAATCTTGCAGATGTCGAGGTTTTAGAGAAGCAGATTCGTCAAAATCGAGAGGATATTAATCTACTCAAACAAGAGATTGAACGGCTGCACACAGAACTGGGGCTTTCATCAGATACCGATGAGTTTGAAGCCCAATTAAGCAAGGAGGAAGTTCTCGAATTTGGGACGCTCGGCGATGGTGTGGTCAAGGGAAAAATTAACTGGATGAACCCTTATCTCATTAGTATTACAACCTCCGGAGAGGCTCCTACGTCAGAAGTTTTGATTTTTAAGCATGCCCTCTGCTATATTCGGAAACCGGAGGAAAAATCGATTCCTCGTCGGGGCATGTACGTTTGAAGGGATCGGATCGTAGGTACAAAACGGTATCAGGCATGAGACATAACTTTACGCCCAAATTACGCAATACGCATTAGGTTTTCGCTTATGTTAAACTTCCGCTCAATCGATCCGCTCATAGAATTAGCCTTCGAAGAGGATATCGGTATTGGCGATATTACGACTGAATCCACAGTTGCCCCGTTACAGCAGGGGTTAGGTACAATCCTCACCGAAACTGAAGGCGTAATTGCTGGACTGCCGATTGCGCAGCGTGTTTTTGAAAAGCTTGATCCGGATCTTAATTTCCAGATGCTTGTTGCTGACGGTGATTCCGTCGGAAGCGTGACACCAATTGCAACGGTGGAAGGGAGCGCGAAATCTATCCTCACCGGTGAGCGTATTGCGCTCAATTTTCTACAACGCCTTTCAGGAACTGCCACACTGACCGCGCGGTTTGTTGCTGCTACAGCCCAATACGATGTCAAAATCATCGATACCCGAAAGACCACCGCCGGCTGGCGAACGCTACAAAAGTACGCGGTTCGTGTCGGCGGCGGAGAAAACCACCGCTTCGGGCTTTACGATGGCGTACTGATTAAGGACAATCACATTGTCGCTGCTGGGGGAGTTGCAAAGGCAATCGAACGGGCACGGTCGGCTGTACCTCACACAATGAAGATCGAAGTTGAGGTTGAGACACTCGACCAAGTCGCAGAAGCGCAGGCGGCAGGCGCGGACATCATATTGCTCGACAACATGCCGGTCAATTTTATGAAGGCTGCTGTTGGAGAAATTGATGAGAACGTTCTCACTGAAGCATCAGGGGGGATTACATTAGATCAGGTCGAAGCCGTTGCGGCGACGGGGGTAAACTTTATCTCCGTCGGTGCGTTGACGCATTCAGCGATGCCGTTGGATATTCGTTTGGACTTGGAGATGAAATAAGTGTGTTAAGAAAAGGCATGATGAATCGCGAGGAAGCAACACTGATCCAACCCTCTATTGCATTTGAATCTGAGTACCTATCAATGGCAGAAGAATTTTGGGCAAAAGAATCTTGGGTAGCAGGTGAAAAGCGATTCCAAAACGATCGTGATCTTATCGAAAATAATTTCTCTGCCTACATTTGCCGCCTTGATGAAGCGAACCAAAGCATTGGACTCAACCCGGTCACGTTCCAAGTACTACATTCTGGCTCGCGGCAAATGACACTCAGATTATCGGTGAAAGCCGGCTCCGTCATTGGTTGACGACATCTTGGAACATGAGGGTGGCCACATCGGATATGTGATTCGTCCTTCGGAGCGACGGAAGGGATACGGAACGTGCATACTTGCGCTGACACTGGAAAAAGCCAGAGATTTAGGACTGAGTCGCGTGTTACTGACTTGCGATACCGATAACATTGGTTCCGCACACATCATTGAGCAAAATGGTGGAAAGCTGGCAAGTCAAGGGATTTCAAACAGTTCTGGGAAACCGATTTCTCGATATTGGATTGATTTGTGAAAGCACCCAAGTTAAAGTGGACAGCTAGTCCATTTCGTAATGAGTGGGCAAGCCACTTTGAATCCCGCTATCAAGCCCGCCCCCACGCTGCCCCGATTGATTAAAATGACGCACCAATCTGTTTAGAAATGCGTTTGAATCAAGGAAATATTGCATGAAAGAGTTTTTTAGCAAATCGCTGAATCCGAAATATTTTGCTCGTGGAATACTGTTTTTCATTCTATGCACAATTATTGGATTATATCTCAGCTTTTTACGAAGTGATACTGAAAATATTGGAATTGTCTTACGTTCAATGAACAGTAAGTTCTTACTTCTCGCAGTGCTTTGCATGTTCTGCGATTGGCTATCGGGCGGTGCACGTCTCTATATTTTCGTGCGGAAGATGGCCCCCGGTGTAACATTTCTTCATGGCCTCCGCGCCAATCTGGCAAGCCTATGTGTTGGAGGAATCACGCCATTTCAAACTGGGGGCCTCGGGCATCTTTATATTTTTAATCGAGTAGGCGTACCGTTCTCAGGGACCGTGACCACCAGTATTATCTGTTTCATTAGTACGCTGATGTTTCTCATACTTTCGACAGGGTATGTTGTGCATCATGCACCCGACTTTCTCCCCAAAACGATCACGATGGTGAGTCAATATAGCCTGTTGATGTTTGCGTTTACCCTTTTTGTCTTTTTTCCTGCTGCTCATCAAACCTGAGACGGTATTGTTTCCACTGACCCGTATCCAACTGCCAAACCGACCTGGTTTTCGACTTGCTACCAACCTGCTAGACCGTTTAATCCTCACGCTTGATAACTTGATTATGGGGCACAAAGCATTCACCCGCATGTTCGTCAATGAACATCGGATCGTCTGTGGTCTAAGCCTCGTTTTTACGGCAGGGGTTTATATGAGTCGGTTTGTCGGTGGCTATGTTGTTGTTCGCGCCTTGGGGGGAGACGCTCCTTTTTGGCATGTCATTGCTGTGCAAGTCATAATCAATTTTGTGACTTTATTTGCACCTAGCCCGGGCGCAAGCGGCATCTCAGAGTTTTTAATTGCGATTTTGATGAAGCCGCTACTTGCCTCCGGACGCAATCGGTCTGTATGCCCTAATCACACGATTCTTCACAACCTATTGTGGCGTTGCCGTTGGCGGAATTGTCTTGATGTCGCAACTGACGAAAGACCTCCGACACAAAAAAAGCACAGGAGATGAGGAAATTGAGGAATAAACTCGCGCGGAGTTTATGAACCCTTTCACATTTGATTTATGAAGGCTTATGTCACCGGTGGGACAGGTTTCATCGGTAGCCATCTGGTCGAACAGCTTGTCGATCAAGGCTATCACGTTACCTGCTTAATCCGCAAAACGAGTAATTTGCGTTGGCTCAACCATCTCCTTACAGCGAAATCGCCGCAGGTCGAATTGGTTATAGGAGACCTACACGATTCCGACGTTCTGGCACAGCATGTCCGAGACGCCGATTTGGTTTTTCATCTTGCCGGTTTGACCAAAGCACCGGACGCTGCAACTTATGACCGAGTCAACGCTGGAGGCACGGAACGTCTTATTGAGGCGTGTTTGGGTGCACGGACAAACTTAGATCGATTTGTCTATTGCAGCAGCCTCGCTGCAGTTGGTCCAAGTTGCGATGCAACACCGAATACCGAAGATGTTACTCCACAACCGCTGACGGACTACGGTAGCAGCAAACTCAAGGGTGAGATGGTTGTCCGTGAGTGCGCAGATCGGCTACCGATAACGATTATTCGTCCGCCCGCTGTCTATGGACCGAGGGATACGGACATTTTTCTCTTTTTTCAGATGATTAATCGTGGCGTGATGCCAATCCTTGGTGACGCAGATAAATTGTTGAGCTTGGTACATGTGAAGGACTTGGTGGCAGGAATTTATACTGCTGCTGTATCCGAGCGTGCAATCGGTGAGACCTATTTTCTGACGGATGGGGATATTCATACATGGATGGAGATTGAACGCATAATCGCTGATGCGTTGGAAAAGTATACGTTCAAGGTGAAAGTGCCGTTTTTCCTGTTAGACTTTCTTTCGATTGTTACGGAAGCTGCGGCGAAAATTTCGCGCCAAACCCCAACCTTGAATCGTCAAAAAGTGCGAGATCTAAAGCAAAGGTTTTGGATCTGTGACAGTACAAAGGCACAGAAGGAACTCGGCTATCGCCCAAACTATTTCCTTGAAAAAGGGATTCAGGAAACGGCAGACTGGTATCGGGCGAATGGCTGGCTCTAGTATGCACTGCGTCCCCCTTTATCCCCCCGCTTGCGGGAGGAAGAAAGGGGGGCAATCACATTTACAACTTACAACTAATTTAAGGAGATAAAATAATGGCAACAACAATCGATCCAAAGAGTACGAAAATTGGCTGGGTTGGGACAGGCGTGATGGGACGCTGGATGTGCCAACATATCATGGACCTCGGGTATTCGGCGACGATCTACAATCGAACCCAAGCAAAAGCACAACCACTGCTTGATGACGGTGCCTCGTGGGCAGATTCGCCAAGCGAAGTTGCCGCAGCGTCAGATGTTATCTTCAGCATCGTCGGGTTCCCACCCGATGTACGCGAAGTCTATCTTGGCGATAATGGCATTTTGAAAGGCACGAAGTCCGGTAGTATCATTGTTGACATGACAACCACCGAGCCTTCACTAGCACAAGAGATTTATGAAGCAGCGAACCCACAAGGCGTCTCTTCTATTGACGCGCCGGTTTCCGGCGGTGATGTTGGCGCGCGGGAAGCACGGCTTTCCATTATGGTGGGCGGCGATGGTGATGCCGTTGAAACTGTTATGCCGCTCTTTGAAGCAATGGGGAAAAATATTGTGCATCAGGGCGGTGCCGGTGCTGGACAGCACACAAAGATGTGTAACCAAATCACGATTGCTGGAACGATGGCTGGTGTTTGTGAAGCATTGCTCTACGGCTACAAAGCAGGCTTAGACTTGGAGACGATGCTCTCGTCGATCAGCGGAGGCGCAGCTGCCTGTTGGTCACTTGACAACCTTGCCCCTCGCATTCTCCAACGTAATTTCGATCCCGGCTTCTTTGTCGAGCACTTCATCAAAGACATGGGCATCGCACTTGATGAAGCCAAGAAGATGAACCTTAGCCTGCCCGGACTCGCACTTGTGCATCAACTGTATCTCGCTGTCCAAGCCCAAGGACATGGACGTTTAGGGACCCAAGCACTTATGCTCGCTCTGGAGCAGATGTCGAGTACGGAGTTGAGTTAGTTTATCACCGGCTTCAAAATGCGATATATACACAGGAGAACCCGATGGCAAGGCAATTGAGAATGGTTCGACCCAATTTGGATGGATTACCCCAACTTGAGATTCCAGAGGGGTATGAAATCCGCACCTACCAAGAGGGGGACGATGTACACTGGGCAAACGTGATCAGCGACTCGTTTGGTGGTGAACGCACGGCTGAAGACGCCCGCCGCGACATTATGGATCGCGATGTGTTTGACCCGGAGGGACTCTATTTTGCCACCTACCAAGGCACGCCGGTCGGCACGACGTGCGCGTGGAAAGATACGCCCGATGAGACAGAGGTTGGCATTGTTCACATGGTTGGTGTACATTCTGCCCATACCGGACATAGACTTGGTAAATGTGTAACGCTCAGTGTGCTATTGTATCTTCGAGAGCACAGTTTCAAGTGCGCTAAACTCGGCACCGATGACTTCCGGCTGCCGGCGATCAAGACATATCTGAATCTTGGCTTTTTGCCGGTCTACGTCGATGTCACTCAGCCGGAGCGTTGGCGGCAGATTTTCAAGAAACTCGGATTGCCAGCTATGTCAGATCAATCGACGAAGATTATAGCCGAAATTTCTGATGAAATGTGGGCAAAGGTCTGCAAGTAAGCTGCTGATAATTGGAAGTTGAGATGCCTGTGTACTCCTTAGAAGAATGAAACGCTTCCTTCGGATTGATCTGGTACTCATTCCTATCCTGATGGTCGGATTCGCTATCCGAATCGTTGGGCTTGGTGTTGGTTTGCCTGACCACTCTGATCCCCGTGAGCCGCTGATTGCGCAGGACATCCTCAACCTTATCCATCTTGAATCCCCGCCCGAGATCTATAATTGGCCCGGAACAGCTTGGTTTTACCTAATTGTGCTGATCGGGGTGGTTTTAGAGGCGTTTGGACTAGAGCTTACGGTTGCTCAGGTCATCTGGCTGGGCCGCTTTACAAACGTTCTGCTGTCAACAGCGACTATTTGGCTGACGTATCAGGTTGGGCACCGATTTTACAACCGCGCTATTGGACTGATTGGTGGTGGGTTGCTTGCCGTAGCAATGCTGCATGCGACGAATGAATCTCGCTTTGCGCTAGTCGACATCCCCGCTACCTTCTGTGTAACTCTACTGCTCTGGTTCTGTGCAAAGGCACAATCTGTCTCATTCCGTCGAGTTGTTTGGCTGGGCGTTATTGCGGGAATTGGCTTCGCTGTCAAGTTCACAACGATTTTCGCAGGCTTATCCGTCGCTGCCCTTCTGGTTTTACGATCAGAGCGTTTTCAGGCTTCGGCTCTCTTTTTGAAATTAGCAACAGTTGTCGGGGTTGCGGGGGCGACGTTCACGATAATCTGCCCGTACTGGCTGATTGATTTCTTTTCCCCAAACTGGAATCTATTCTTCGATGCCCTTTTCTATGAATCTTCGCATTACCAAAAAGGGCACTTTGGACTGTTTGCGACCGGTGAAATCAACTGGTTCAATCGATTTACCTATCTGTGGACGCTCCTGCGGTGGGGCATGGGCACGCCGTTGGCATTGCTTGCAATCGTCGGAACCTTGTTGGCGATAATCCAACGGGAAAGATAGGGATAAAATCCTCCTCGCCTTTGTGATACCCTACCTGCTATTCATCGGTTTACACAAGCTGAAATTTGTCCGCCACCTGCTGCTGATTTATCCGGTGTTGATACTATTTGCGGCGGGATGCATAGATAGGGTAAGCACCGCACTCGCCCAATGGAACTGGGCTCGCCAAAATTTGATTCTAAAACAGTGGGTAACCCCCATCCTATCGGTCGTTATTTTGGGCGGGGTGGGTATGTATTCGCTGATTTACACCGCTGCCTTTGCTAGCGTTATGAGATCGTTACCGACGACTGTTGAGGCAACGGAATGGATAGAATCGAATATCCCACCGGATAAAGCGATTGAACGCGAACCTGAAATCTTGTTTGATTGGCTTCTACCGCGATTGGACAGAGAAAACAATGGAGACGGAGCAGAGTGGGTCCTTGTCTCGATGCCAAATGCGGAGGTTTTTCTGAACTACGCGGCGAAACTCACACACTATTTTGCAATCGATTGGTATCCGCTAGAGTCGGTAGACACGGAGGCAGCGGTGGCATTTTACGAACGAGTTTTTGGACAGTCGAGCCGATACACCCTCGTACAACGTTTTCAGCGTCAGCCGTGTTTTTTGGGTATTTCAATTTCGGACGAAGGCGCGCCCTTTCCGATGCGGGCGTTGACGCATCCAGAGATACGAGTTTACCGGTTGCAGGAATAACGCTAATCAGCGGTCTGCATCCGATAACTACCTCTCATAACCTGCTGGTGCTAGAGGAATCAAACCTTTTGCGCTTTCCCTCCCCGTGTGGTAGAATATTCCTGCACATCATATAACATACCACAAAAAAGAGCATACAAAATGACAAACGACGAAATCAGTGAAGTATTCAGAAACATCGGCAATCTGCTCCAGATCAAAGGTGACGACTCCTTTCGTGCCAGAATTTACGATCGAGCGGCGGAGACAATTGACGAACTCTCGGCAGATCTACATAGATTGGCAGAGGAAGAGACGCTTCGCTCAATCCCGGGTATCGGCAAAGCGATTGAACAGAAAATTATCGAAATGCTGGAAACAGGACGGTGCCGCTTCTATGATAACCTGATTCAGGAGATGGGTCCCGATGTGCTAGATCTCATCGCAATTCGGGGTGTTGGGGTGAAAACAGCGGGACGGTTTTATAATGAGTTGGGCGTAAAAAGTCTGAGAGATCTCCGAGCAGCAATTGATGCAGATCGGCTCAAGCAGATGCAACGGATGGGTGCCAAAACAATCGCATCAATTGACGAGGGTTTGCGGTTTCTCGAAGCGCAAAGAAAGATGCGCCCGCTCCGGCAGATTTTACCGATTGCAGATGCTGTCTTTGATGCACTCAAAAATTGCCCAGATGTCAAACGGCTGGATTTCACCGGGGATTTTCGCAGACGCGAGGAGGTTTTACAAAGCCTTGAGCTAGTCGTTGAATGTGACTGTGCACAGGGGGTTGTTGAAGTGTTGTCCGGGGCGAAAGGTGTGGTATCTCCGGCGATACAAGATGATGTTCGCGTTGTCGCTTCTGTGGATAGAGGATTTCCGTTGCGGGTTTACTGTACCACTGGGGCAGAATATGAAGCAACTTTAGTTGTAACAACCGGTGCTGCTGCACACTTAACCCGACTCAATCACATCGCAGCATCTCAAGATATTGAGGCAATAGGTGAACAGTTACCAGATTGGTCAAAACATAAGACGGAATCCGATATTTACGATCAGCTTGGATTGTCGTTCATCGTCCCTGAACTACGAGGTGGCGCTGATTCGATCGAGGCAGCATTGGTGGAGAATCTACCAACCCTTATTGAGCAGGGCGATCTACGGTGTGATCTGCATATGCACACTGATTGGAGCGATGGACGGGGTACAATTCGGCAAATGGTAGAGGCTGCGGCATCACTTGGGCATGAATACATCGCCATTACCGATCACTCCAAATCCTCACGGATTGCCAATGGATTAACGTCTGAACGGTTGTCGGCACAAATTCAACAGGTTCGTGAAATCAATACCGAAATCGATGGGATGGAAGTGCTTGCAGGTTCAGAGGTCGATATCCTGAAAGATGGCAGCCTTGACTTCCCTGACGAACTCTTGGCGCAGCTCGACATCGTTATAGCAAGCGTCCATGAGGGTTTGTCAATGAGTGAATCGGAGATGACCGACCGCATTATTCGCGCAATCGAAAATCCGTATGTTACTATCATCGGACACCCGACAGGACGTCTGTTGGGGCGGCGTCCGGGATACGCAGTCAACCTTGAAGCGGTGATTGATGCGGCGGCAGCGCACCACGTGTGCGTTAGAGATTAACGCTGCCCCCAGCCGATTGGATCTCGAACCGAGTCCTGTACGGCAGGCACGCGATCGCGGCGTCTTATTGTCGGTCAACACCGATGCACATTCAATCCCTGACTTAGAGCGTGCTCTATTCGGGATTAACGTTGCCCGGCGGGGCTGGCTGGAGAAAACTGATGTTCTCAACACTTATTCACTGGCAGCGATGAAAGAGATAATGGCTGGACGAGTGAGGGGTAGCGAATGATCCTCGTCTATTACGATAGATTTCCAGACGATGAAGATTCAAATCACAGATCAAATCTTTGACATTGATGAGACAACGCTATACGACTGGATAAAGCTAGGGCGTGTACCGCGGGATGCCTCCGTATGGTCCGAAACGCTTACCGATGGTCAATGGCAGCCTGTCAGTGAACTACCGCCGGTTCGGAAACTGTGGGGACTTGACAACGATTCAGAACACACAAACGTTGGTAAATCAGAGAACAGCAGAAACGAGTTAAAAACAGGGCAAGGGTTTCTCAAGTACCCAAAAAGATTGCCTGTGATGACACTTATTTTAATTGCATTGAATGTTGCCATTTTTCACCCACTCGAACTTCGGCTGATTGCTTCCCCCCAAGACTTGGAAGCCTTGATCCAATTTGGAGCTTACTCTTATCATCTAATTGTGGAAGACGGGGAATATTGGCGCCTGCTGACAAGTACCTTTTTGCACGCCCACGCCTTGCACCTGCTCCTGAACATGGGCATACTGTTCCTCCTTGGCAGCTTGTTGGAAGGGTTGTACGGCAGAGGTCGGTTTCTGTTTCTCTACTTGATTTCAGCTATCGTCAGCAGCGTTGCGAGTTTATTTTTTGTCCAAAATGCCCTTGGGGTTGGGGCATCGGGTGCTGTATTCGGGTTGATCGGCGTTGCCGTCCCTTTAGGCATCCGCTACAAGGATCGGCTTCCTCGAAGATTGGGACGGATTCTCGGCTTACGGCTGCTTCCATTTATTGCGATTGACCTTCTTCTTGGGTTCTTCGTCCTCCCGCATTTCAACTATAACGTCAACAACGCTGCTCACCTCGGTGGATTGTTCACAGGGTTTGTTGGCGGGATAGTCCTTACGCCAGAAATTTTTAGCTATCGTGAACGTGAAAAAAGGATTGTGGCGGGGTTGACAGCAGCACTTGTGGCTTTGACAATCGCAAGCGGTGTTATGCCGGTCCTATATGCCCTTACCAATTCAGGGAAAACGGTTGAACGTCAGATTGATAGCGTGTCCCCCACCGACCTAACCGATTACATCAAAAGCCACGAGAAAAAAATCTTAGAACGTCCTTATGACCCCAATGCTTACTCGGCTCTTGAAAACCTTTATATCGAAGCATTAAAGACTTTTCCGGATGATGCTTCTTGGACATACAAACTTAAACAGTTCTATGAAAAGGCACTCCAAGCGGATCCAGACAACCCTGTTTGGAATAATAATCTGTTTTGGGTTTACCAAGCAACAGCTTTCGAGCGTCCAGATGAGAAAACGGAACTTACAGACTATATCGAACTGTGTGAAACGGTCGTAGAAAAACGGGGCTATAATCGGACACTTTATCTAAACTTGGAATATTTTTACACGCGTGCCAAGGGGCTTGCCCCTCAAGAGGGGAGATTTTGGGATCGCAAGTTAGAAGTCTTTTATCGGGGAGCCGTTAAAAAAGACCCTGAAAATGGAACATGGAGTAATAACTTGGCATGGCTCTACGTCGAGCAGCAGACCAACCCGCAAAAGACAGTTGGACTTGCACTGAACGCGGTGAAACAAGCCCCGACCGAAAAAAACTTTCTAGATACCCTTGGCTGGGCATATTTTCGGAATAAACAATATCGCAAAGCACTTCGCGTATTCGAGCAAGTTGTCGCAAGCCCCATAGAAACTGAGGAGGAATTGAAGGCTCAGGAAAGCGGGTGGAGAGGTATTACGGAGCTAGTTCAAGCTGAGAAATCCTCTCAAACGTTACGAAACTTTACGCCGGCGTTCTTGAAATTTTATGAACGGTTGTCTCGCTTATTCTCAGAGAATTCCGCGAATCGGACAAAACTTGATGCTGTTTTTAATCTCTTTCAGCAAGGGTTTCACGGAGGGTAGTACTTCACAGCAGAGGCATTTGGACAGGTTTGATAAGTAGCTTCATTTACGCGATAAAGGCAGAAAGTCGTGGAAAAAGGGAAAGGAAGGGCGTTTCATGTGTCACGTTCAACTGCTGTTTCGTAATCCTTCAGTTTATACTGTAAGGAACGCAGGCTAATCCCCAAAATCTCTGCTGTTCGGGTACGATTGCCCTCCATTCTTTCAAGGGTTTTGAGGATTAACTCCTTTTCCATCTCCTTCATTGTCAAACCGACGGGTACGCTTTCGGCTTCACGTTGGCTGGTGGATTGAATTTCTTCTGGTAGGTGTTTTGGGAGAATGACATCGCCTTCTGCGAAGAGGACCGCTCGTAGAATGGAGTATTCCAGTTCTCGTAGGTTGCCGGGCCAATCATATTGCATGAACAGTTCTCTTGCCTTTTGGCTGATTAGCCGTGCGGGTTGATTGTGGGCTTTACTGTGTTTTTGCAGGAAATACTCCGCCAATATCAGGATGTCCTCCTGGCGAGCTCGTAATGGTGGCAGGTGGATTGGAATCATATTCAAACGGTAGTAGAGGTCCTGACGAAATGTTCCGGCTTCAATTGCCTGCCGCAACTCTTGATTGGTCGCCGCAATGATTCGTACATCAACACGGATTACTTTTGTTCCACCCAGACGTTCAATTTCTCCCTCTTGTAGGGTGCGCAACAACTTGGATTGCAATTCAATCGACATATCTCCAATTTCATCCAAAAACAGCGTGCTGCCGTGAGCGCGTTCAAATTTCCCAATCTTTTGGTAAGTTGCACCAGTAAACGCACCACGTTCATGTCCGAATAGTTCGCTCTCTAGAAGATGATCTGGAATAGCAGCACAATTGACAACGACCATCTCTTTTTCTCTGCGCGAACTATTTTGGTGAAGCGCACGAGCAACTAACTCCTTCCCTGTACCGCTCTCCCCTTGGACCAACACGGTAGAGTTTGTATCCGCAACCTTTTCGACGATCTTTAAGACTTCGAGGATGGGAGGACTTTCCCCTACGATTTCCTCGTAGCTGTGGAGGAGTTCGTCCCTAGTACTGTGTTCAACGGTGCGTTGGTGTTCTAATGCCTGATCAACCTTTTGTGTAATATGTTCTGGTTGAAAGGGTTTTTCCAAGAAATCGTATGCCCCCTGCTTCGTCGCTTCGACAGCACGCTGGATTGTGCCGTGTGCTGTCAACATGAGCACAAGTATACCGGGGTACTTTTCGTGGATGTGTGTAAGCGTTTCGATTCCATCCAAGCGCGGCATTTGGATATCTAAGAGTACTAGGTCCGGCAGATCCTGATCGATTAACTCAAGGGCATCGCACCCATCGGTAGCAGTTACAACCTCATAGCCATCCATTTCGAGCCGATCCTGTAAGATCAGGATGGTATCAGGTTCATCATCAACGATAAGGATTTTCTCTTGCTCGTTCATCTGGAATGCCATCTCACGCTAGAGTAATAGTATTTTAACCTAAGTTGCCTTACGATTGAATCGGTGATACTGCCGATTAACACCCACGTTTAATATAAAAAAAGGCAGCACATTGGCTGCCTTTAAGAATGTATCGAAACTTCTAAAATCAATTGTAAAAAAGCAGCGTATCAGCTGCTTTCAGATGTATCGTGCAGTTATGGCCCGTAACTCTCCTCTGCGACCATCAAAGCGATTTCTTGCCCCTCCGTTTTACTAAATCGACGTTTCGCACGCTCCATGACATCAATAACTCTGCCATGTTTGGCAAATCTGTCGGCTTTGATAATGAGTGTAGTAATTTGAGCCTCTTTTGCGGACAGGTACATCTCCATATGATCCAGCGTTATCATCTCCAGATCATCAAATGAGATTCTGCCATCTGCACTGACAAAGAGATTGAATTTCTTGCGCGGAAAGTCGTGCTTCGTAGCTGACTCCGGCAGCGACACGGTAAAAGGCGGAGGAACACGCATAATTGCTGAAACCATAAAGAAGATCAGCAATAGAAAAACACAGTCAATCATTGGTTCCATCATCAAGGCCTGACCACGTTCTTTGCTTTTCCCCGTCTTCATTTGTATAGCCATAGCATCCTCCTTTGTTATTCCCTTGCCACCACTGCAAAGCCGATTTTGTCTATACCTGCTTGCTTGGCAATATCCATCACGTTAATAATCTGCTCATGTATGACATCCCGTTCTGACTGAATGATTACCATATTCTTGATTTCTTCGGGAGCATGAATAAACTCGGTAAACATCTGATTGATGTTAACAATCTCATCATGCAAGATCATTGTACCATACTTCTGAGCACCTTCAGGGTTCGCAATCCTCACAATGAGCCCCTTGGGCTTATTGGGATTCGGTTTGCCCGGAGGAGGCAACTGAACGCGAATGCCAGGCATCGGTGCAAAACTCGTCGAAACCATAAAGAAAATTAGAAGCAGGAACACACAGTCAATCATCGGAGCCATATCGAGCTTAGGCGATTTTCTTTCTCTAGCCCGCCATTCGGGTCATACCGCTAGGTGCTTGCGTACTTGCCATTTTCGATTACCTCCTGTTCAAAAGGTAGGTCTTCCTGCCACCCTAAAGGGGCTGCCCATAGGGTGACAGGAGAACGTTGAAATTTACGCTGATTGACCAAGAATCAGTTGGTTTACGATTTCTGTCGAAACCTGCTCAATCTCAAGCACAAATTTGTTGACCCAGCTCTCAAAGACCTGGGAGAAAATGAGACACGGAATAGCAATGGTTAAGCCACCAGCGGTGGTCAGCAACGCTTGGGAAATACCCCCGGCGAGTGCCTGTGGGTCGCCAGTACCTTCCAATGCAATCGTGGTAAATGCGTTAATCATACCCATAACCGTACCGAGGAGACCAAACAACGGTGAGATAACTGCGACCGTACTAATAACAGGAATGTTTCGCTCAAGCTCTGGAATCTCAAGGAGTCCCGCTTCTTGAATGGATTCCTGTACCTCTTCTTTTGTAATCTCCTGCTCTTCGATCTGGGCTTGACTGTATCTTAACAGACCTGCTTTCAGAACGTTTGCAAGTGGGCCGCCTGCTTCTTCACAGGTTGAGACCGCTTCCATGATATTATCACTACGCAAAGAATCGGTAATGCTTGCCATGAACTGCTCTGTACCGAGCTTGGAACGGCTTCTTAAGAAAGTAAAGAGGCGTTCAATAATAAACGTCAACGCAGCCACAGAACAGAGGAGGAGTGGCCAGAAGACAACACCAAACTTGGCAAAGAAGGTGACAATTGTATCTTTTTTGGTCATTTTCAGCGGCACATAGTGATCGCCTCCAGTAACGATGGTGACCGGTTTACCGGTTCGGTCGCCATATCCATCCTTGTAAATACTAAGGAGATAACGCCCCGGCGGCAAGCCCGACTTGGTATATTCACCGACGTCATCCGTTGTCGTTTCATTCTCTGTGCCATCGGTGCTGACCACAACAACTCTAACCCCACTAATCGGCGTTTGTGCCGTTGTGGTATCTACAACGTTACCACGAACCGTGCCGGTTGTCGCATCTTGAGCAAGCGCAACCGCACCGTAAATAATCAACATGCTAGCTAGGATTAAGGTTAAACTCAGGTGTTTCATGTATTCCCCCTATTGGAGTTTGAAGGTGGAGTAAAATTTAGAGGGCGTACTACATATTACCCTCAATTTCAAGTCGCCTCAATCACCTCATATCGGACGACTAAACTTTTATACAATACGAAGTCTTGGCTTTATAAACACTTCTGTTTTTTGAAAGTTGCGGTAAGATCAAGTGCCAAGCATAAAAATGCCTGGCACTTTGGGAGATTGTTAGAAGCCCATCATTGCTCGGACGAAGGTTGTATTACTTGTCGTATGGTCAAGCAAGATGGTGGTTCTTCTGAAACCAGCGAGAATGACGATATTGAAACCTTGCCATTCACCGCGACTGATTGACTGCACTTCAAAGATACGCGTACGCAGGTCTGGACGGAAGAGAATCGGAATATCAGCCTCCGCAAACGCTGGCGTCGCTAAATAGTCTTTGATATTTTGATCGCGGTTGGTGAATTTGCGATACTGAAAACCGCCGAGGATATTCATTCTTTGAGTAAATTGATAATCCAAACGAATACCGAGAACATCTTCACGGCTACGTTTGTTGAATCGAAGGTACTCAATGACCTCTGGATCGTCAGGCACAAATTTCGTCGGATCTAGCGGGTTAATGTACCTTTGATCCGTAATGTCCGCAGCCGTATGATCAAACGCTCGCGTCCAAATATATTTTGCCATCGGTGTCAGGGTTAAATCTTCACCAATTCTGTCCACTCCGGGCAAATCACCCAATGAGATTTCATATTTGGCTCTGAGAATGGTAATCTGATTTCGGACAGTCTTTTCTTGGAAACGGCGTGGTATCCAGTTTTCTGAATCATAGATCAAACCAAGATCCTCTGCATCCAGCGGGTTCAACCCGTGATCTGGATAGAACGGAAATGACTTCCGGTCTCCATCAGAGCGGACTTGCTCATCCGGCACCATGAAATCAACGCGATCATCCTTTTCTTCCGATGGATCATCCTGTGGAAAATCCAACGCAATGGCATCCTCTTCATCGAGTGCCAACTGCTTCCGCCAGTCAAGTAGGAACTTGGTTTCAAGCGTTAAGTTTGGAATCGCGCTGTAGAGGAACTGAAGGCTTGTCACATTGACCCGTGTCTTGAAGAAATCGAGAAAATCAGATTCCTGTGTGGCATCTAACTCGCCCGGACGCAAGGTAATCGAGTAATCTGGAATATCATCGTCAACACGGACAAAGCGGTTCTGGAACAGGATTGTTCCGAAATCTGGAACGTCGCGTTGGTAGCTAAGATGGGCGTATTTTGAATCGTTCTGCCGCACGCTGGAAACTTCGCTCTCATTTAACCAACCCAATTTGAGGGTCATGTTATCGAGTAAGTCATAGCTAGCAGCGATATGGTATCCGTCACGGTTAATGCCGTATTCATACTGTGGCTCAAAATCATCTTCCAATGAATCAACAACGCCATTGTTATTCTCGTCAACGAGATCTTCAAAAACCGGAGGATCCGCCTCAAAGATGAGGAAGTCTTCTTGGAAATCGAGGATGCCGTTCTGGTCACGGTCATCGGCTTGCGGTAGAACACCGTCAAAGTCGATGCTATCTGGCCAGTCATCGTCGTCATCGTCGTCTTCAATGAGCGAATAGTTAATCTCATCAAAGGGCGCGATTTCTGCGCCGGATTCAGGAGTTCGGTCAAGAGAGTAGGTCGCATCTCTTGAATCGTTCGCACCGAAATTATGGTAGGTTGTTGTGTAGCCTGGGTCAATATGATAACGAGTCAACTCGAGGAAGAGTTTGCCGTAACGCTGCCTGAGGTTGACAAACCAAGCAGTTTCACGACCCATCTCTCCGTCATCATTCGGATCACCATTCAACTTGGCTTCAAACCTTTCCCCTTCTGCTTCAGAGTGTGTGGGAATGCTGTTGGCATCAAGAGGCACTCCGAAGGTTGGGTTGGGCAATCCGGAATCGGGCAACGTCTCTGTTTCATCTATGGTGACGCCAGAGCCTTCAATTTCAGGATTCAGTCGACTGAAACCGATCTGGTCTCTCGGAATGGTTGGATACTGCTTAAATTTTCCGTTAATTGAATAGTGCGCTCGGATAAAGGTATTAAAGAGGGTCCCCTCTAAATCGATACCATACAGCACACCAGCGCGTGCCGCACCGTAGCGATACCGAATCGTACGCGATGCCCTTCATTTTCCCAGTCGCTTGGGTTACGTCTCAACCTCGACCTATTCTGAGTATAATGATCTGACCGACCATAATTGCCGGGAGCTTGAAGCACATCACGATACGGCGATTCGATATGACCATCTTCGGTCTTGATCCATTCTGCAGCGAGTGGGTCGTCCGATCTGTTTGCTTCACTAAATCCGATGACGACGATATTATAATCCCCAGCAACCGTCATCTCAAACTCAACGGACTTCACTGTGCGCGGATCGATGGGACCATTGGGAGCTCTTCAGAAGTCAGGTCCAATATATACTGCATCTTATCGAACCCTTCGACAATTTTCCATTGTCCATCAGTGGATTCAACCGGACCAGCACTTCCCTCTACAGCAACGATATCGTCAATAAAAACTGTGATCGTCTGCGATCTCTCAGGACCCAACGGACGGTCTGGACCATCTTCAGGGGAACCGGACAGAGCTTGCGTGATAACGTGTACTTTCATGCCCCTAACGGCAGCACCGACACCACCCTGGATCTGTGATGCTTGGTGATCTCTTTCGAGGTCATGTGATAACCCGCCATAATTGTTATCTTCTGGAGAATCATCTCGGAAGACAACAACGATGCGCTCTGGCGGTGTATTGGCAACCGTTCCACCAAACAGAGGATTTTCAACCCGTTCTGGGTGTTCTTTGTGGAGATTGACATAGGTGAGACCTATGCGGAATACATCACCGAGCAATCCTTGTGCACGAAATCCGATTAAGCGTGCGTTCTCAATATGGCGAAGACCCACATCATCACTGAGGCCATTGCGACGACCCAGTGTTGGTGCTAAGTTCGCCGCTGCGTCAGACAACTGCACCGGGTTAGAAATACGAGAATTCAACAACGTGAAAAGGTGACGTTCTTGAGAGAACGAGAGATCCCATCGGAAACCATCAAATTCCGTTTTGTAGATGATATACCGGTTAGGGAATAACGTTTGAGGCTTAATACGCATATTGTCCCCAATGACGAATTGCGTAAATCTGCCACGGAAATTATCTTCGGTTAAAATCTGGCGGTCCAACTGGGCGGAAAATCGTTCGCTATCCAACTGACCGGTCCAACCTACAACTAGTTCTCCGTTTTGATCAAATTGCTTCTCCTCGCGGTAATTATAGACCTCGTTCCCTTCGAGAAGTTCTCTACCAAACAGGTCATAGAAGAACTGGGGTTCTTCTTCCAACTGGAAGCGGTCAGAAAAGTTTGCCTGTCCTTCGACCGTTGGTAAAAGCGGTTCCTGTGGGCCAAGGCTAGTTGCGCCGCAGCCATAGAGTACGAAACAACTGATTAGCCCTGCTATTATCAAAAAAACATCAGGTAATCGTTTGAAAAACTTCATTACTTTCATTTGCCTCCTTGAGGAAATCATAAATTACATTTGACGTAAAAGTGAGGATATAAAACCTCCGTAATCACGTTCATCCAAACACCAAGTTAAAATAAAGGAATCGAATCAATCACGGTTTCGGAGTTTGTGACCGTTTATCAACCCTTCTCCCATTTTAACTTGCGTCAGTGGTGGAACATATCGCAACCTCCTTTAGCAAGGATTTATTAGCAATACAAAACTATTTAGTTATCCAGATGTGGTGCAAAAGCAGTCTGTACATTTTCTCTGCTGGAGTTGCGCTCCAACGGCATCAGGTTAAGCCTTGCAGCCCAATCTATTGGGATACAAGTATCTGAAAACAGTTGGCGTGTAAATAATTAACATTCAAAGTTAGATACTGATTGAGGTTGAGCCATCGCTCATTCAGCGATCCGGATGATCCACATACTTGGCTTAGAAGCCACCCACGTTTCCCATCCTTCTTGCCACCACAAAAGCGCGAAAATTCAGGTCTAATCTTTATTGAGTTTGCGCTTTTTTTCTCAATGAAATTCTGCTATAAAAAAAAGTAACTTCTAAGATAACACTTCTGCAATTTTCTGTCAAGTGTTTTTTCTTAAATTAATTATGATGTACCAGTAGATGAGTCGAAAATGGACTGAACCCTTCACATCGAAATGAATCTTCCTTATTTTTGAACAGTTTTGAGGAAGCGTAGCTGGAATTCAGTTAAAGGATGAATCATTCCTAGATTTTGAGCGAAAATGTTGACCAACTATTCCCTTTGGTTGCAATCAACATTACCGGACAGAAGATATCGAAATAGGCTGGCAAAAAATAGAGGTAGGTTAAATACCGGTTGGATAAGCATTGAGGTCGAAACTACATAAATTCTGGTAACCGTAAATTGCAAAACCCAGGATTAGTAAAAATTCAGGTAGCTAAAAAGTCGCGCCTATAAACCTTTGGCGCGAGTTGATGGGACCATCGTTCTTACAAAGGGGTAGAATCTACATTACAGGTAGAACTAGGTAGACATCATAAAACGATAGCAAAGATTTGCTGAAAAGGAAACCTTTGCTAGAGACTTTTAGGCGGCGCATCGAAAAATTACTGGATGTTGTTGGCGGCTCTAATCTCCCCCTCGCTAAATGCCTCATCCTTCCATTCAGTGATACGCCATTCTTGCTTATCGGAACCCTCCATGGTTCTCAACTCAAAGGTAAAAATATTATTCCCTTCAGCGAACCAGCCCGTATATCCCCCTTCGAGGGAAGATCCATCAGCGACAAACCCTTGGATCCGATAATGATTTCTGACTTCAGCTCGTGTCCGGTCCGTATTCAGTTGTATATCAGGCGGTTCAGATAGCTCAATCTCAATATCTTGGTAGCCGGCAAAAACGCGCCTTGCGGAATCTCTTTCGTCACGGATATCATCAAATATAACATCATCTGTTTTATCATCCTTTGTGCCCATATCTGAGACGTAAAGAAATCCGTCTTCCCAAAACGCGCTCATATACATATCAAGGTCTTCGCCCTGATATCCTTCGCGCCAGCTTTTCAGCACTTGGTTAATTAAGACAAGCTCTTTTTGCTGGGGTTTGGCGATACTACTTACATCCCCGCAACTTGTAAGCAAACTAAAAACGAGCAACAGCCCAATGATTTTGGCAAATACTTTTAACATGGCTGCACTTCCTCCATAAGGGCCAGATGTGTTCGCTCGGCCTTTCAAAAGAATTTGACGATACCTAGTTGAAGTTGTGTTGGAGTCACCTTGAGTTGTACGCCTAATCCCTCAATCTGTTCCATATCATCAATGAGTTGGTTCGCTTTTGCCTCTGCATTGTACAAATTCGCTCCAACATAGGAATCAATCAAGCTATACGCCCATACCCCCGCTGCTGCGAAGAGGAAAAACTGTCGTAACTTATAGCGTTGATTCGCTCGATTGTATTGAAAAAGCGCTTCTGGAGACTTATCATCAATTAAGGCAACTGGAACATATTCATTGTTGTAAACATCTCGGAAGGATTGGTGTGTAATTAACGCACCAATAAGGAGACCACTTGTTCCCATAAAGGATGTGGTACCCAAAAAACGTTTATGCGCGTAAAACTGACCCCAGCCGGGCAGAACCGCAGAACGACCTATGGCACCTATTGGTGACACAAGGCGCAGGTCTTCATTTGGCTGCGCGGCACTGATTTGAACCCGTGAAAATAAACATAAAACGGGAATCAAAAGTGTAAGACTAAATAACTTCACCAGAGATCCGGTCAAATTCCTATACCTCTTCCTAAAGGCGTATAATAGCAAAACCCGAACGTCTTGTCAATAAAAAAAACAGTTAAGGCAAAAATTCCCCCTTAACTGTTTTATTTTCGTTGCAAGTTAGAACTATTTTCTTCGACTGCGTGTTTGGGTTCTCGTGGTATTGCGGCTGCGTTCTTGTTTTTCATCATCGTCATCTTTACTGCTTGAACTTGAAGTTGTCTGCTGAGGTGTTGGTCTTTGGACACGCGGGGCAGGAGTAGTAGATGAACGAGATCTTGATTGCTTGGATTTGCTACGCGTTTCTGTCTGTTGTTTGACGCTTGATGAAGATCGGCTACGTGAAGGTGGTGTACTCAACCGACTTCTCGAAGACTGTGTTCGGTTATAAAGACGCACACGTCGTTCCGCGTTAGATCGGGTCGAGACGTCACTATCCGAACTATCCGATGAACGCTTGTCCTTTGGAGAAAACCGGAAACGATCATACTGGTAGGTACGAGATTGCGCGTTTCGAGGTTGTACGTTAGATCGGGGTTCTCGCTCAACTGAACTTAAGCGTTTACGCTTTAGGATCTGCTGAGTTGAGCGGTAAGATCGGGGTCGAGATGTCACTAGCAGAACGCTGATCACTGCGCTGCCGTTGTGTTGTCGTGTTCGATTCGTTCCTTGTATCAGGGAGTTTCCGTTGAGTTGAACGGTAAGATTGGGCAGATCTGTCACTAGCAGAACGCTGATTACCGCGCTGCCGTTGTATTGTCGCGTTCGACTCATTCCGTGTATCGGGAAGTTTCCGCTTTCGAGAAAGTGTCGACCGTTGGATGACTCGATCCGTAAGAACCGGTGTTTGACGGTGTTCCGTAATTAGCGAGCGGACACGGGTTTGTACATCGGTTCTGTTCGCTTTGGATGTGGTAACTGACAATCGGCTCCGTGAATATTGGCGGCGGGTAGTTTCATGCGTTGCAGTCCAGCGATTCAGTCGTCGCGTCTTAGGCGATTTATCAGCATGGACATCCACGTGGTAGTAGGAATCGCGGTGGTGGCGACGCGGGTAACGACGATGGTAATTGTGGAGATAACCGCCATAAGTGTGACGAATGGCAAGGTAGTGATGGTCATAGGCTGGGTAACTCCATCGAATGTAGTAACCTAGATCCGTACAGTAGTAAAATGGACCATCGTAAAAATAGAGATAGGTATATCTGTACCAAGGTTGCCACTGGTAGTCTCGAGCGTAACGATGTATAACACGAACATCAGGTTGTCGTTGATAGGTAACAACATCAACATATTCGATATCAAGGTGCTCACCATTTTCAGCGACAATGTGCATTTCAAGGATACCGTTATCAACATGTCCTGCTGTCGCAATTTTTATTGTCTCTGAGCGACGTTTTGCACGTAAAAAGAAGGTATCGCCGTAGAGAGTTTCCTCTTCACCGTTATCATTATAGTTCCTGCGGGCATATTCACGTTTGGTATTGCGAATCCAAACACGACCTGCAACCTCCTCGTAATCAAAGTCCGCTCGATGGGGTTCCCCTCGATAGCGCACCAAAATCTCAACGTACTGAGCCTGTCGAGGTATCTCAAAAAGATAGATTGCACTGGCTATCGCAAATTCGTAGTTCTCCTCTTTATCAGATTCACTTGCCCAAGCTGTCAGGCGAATCCCGCTTTCAAAACGAGGACTTGCAGTGACAGTTGCATTGCCGCGCTCAATCCAGTCTTCAACATCACCTGCGTCCCGATGTTCGCGACTTATTCGGTCCGAAAAGTAGTCGTAGTCTGCTAGAGCAGCATGGGGCATGAGCGTCAATAAGAGGATTATTAGCATCGGACATATGGAAGTCGGGATGCGAAATTTCATAGGAACTCTCCTTTTAGGTGCACCTAGCAAAGCGGATTTTCGTGACTTCCTTGTACAATACAAGGAGTTCGCTCATGACAATCACAGTCCATGAGCGAACTTGACGTTATCCACCAATAGGATTCGTAATCTGTATCAATAGCAATTTAGATGCCATACTTGATTTAGCCGCTGTCTGTTCAATAAGGGCAAAGAAATCTGGTATCCGTTGAGTCCAAATCGTAGCAATAGAGATACACAGCTGTGGCAGAAGCGATACCAAATATTGATTTGCAGATTTTTAATCCATCGCCACGAGTCGAATGCCCTTTCGGGCTGCTAAATCCCGTGCAAGCGGTGTAATAATCGCTGGATTGGTATAACGAAATTCACGCACATCTGATGCAAGTTCGCCAATCACCGAGGCGGTGATAATGTTTTGCCCACCCATTGAGTTCGCCGGGCTAAAACGCCGCGTACCATCGTTTAGAATTGTCTCAGCGAGCTGATCGGTGGCAACAAATTGAACCCGAAGTCCGACAGAGTCTTAATGTAATTTTTCCCTAACTTTGAAATTTCAGGTGGGATTTCAGACCCATCTGAGACTTCAAAGCCATCAGACATTACTACTACCCTGCTTCTGCGAAGCAGTGCCTGGAATACAAGGTAAGTACACGGCGTATCTGCCATGCCCAAACTCAGCTTCGCTGCCATCGCGCACGATAGCGTCGGAATAACGATTAATGAGAAAACCTTCGGTGAAAGGCTGAAGGTTTGTAATTTCACTGGCTATGAAAACCCGTTCTTGTCCGCATGCGGATCGGATACGGGAGATGTCCAGAATTTTAGCCGCTATATCTGACAAAATGGCTGTAACGACATAGCCTTGCTGAATACACTTATCAAGCTGTTCCAGAGGGACGTGCAAGATCGACTTCAGCGGCATCGAATATCGCCAGAATCCGTTTATCGGATTGGGCAGATGTCAAAGCGATTCCTTGTTGTTTAAGAACTTTCGCTACTTCTGCTTCAATCCGCCGAATTATTTCTGGACTGAACTCCACTTAGATACCCCTAATCTCTCAGCAATTCGACGCCTTCTCCTCCCCGCAAACCGGCAGCATTAGCGTCATCTGTATCTAGATGCATCTGCGGCACATAGCTCGGTGATATTTTCGGATGAATGTTTTCAAAGGTCAACGCACGTTCGCCGGGAATGCGAACTGTTAATAAATCTCCCTTCGCGTATACCCCAATTTTCCGCATCTTGGGGAGTCATGTGAATATGCCGCGTCGCACAGATTGCGCCCGTTTCTAAGTGAATAGATCCTTGGGGGCCAATCAATACAATCGACTCTGAACCGGCGAGATCGCCCGAATCGCGAATCGGTGGATTAGTCCCAAGCGAATCGCATCAGTCTGTGCAAGCTCAACCTGAGAATAATCCCTCACGGGACCGAGAATCCGAAGCCCCTCAATTGCTTGCATACGTCGTCCAACGACGGTTAATGTCTCTTTCGCCGCGAATGCACCGGGTTGGTATAAAGGGGCGTGGACTGTCAATTGATGTCCCTCGCCATATAAGATCTCTAAGTGTTCTTGCGTCACGTGCGCATGTCGCGCTGAAACACCAACCGGAATCTTCTGCTGTTGAACGACGGTATCACAGGCACGCTGCCCAGCCGCACAGGTTCGCAAGGCGCAACCGCCACAGGGTTCCTCGTCCTGTTTCAGTTGTTCAAGCACTTTATGAGTGACCAGTTCAATGAGTGCCTTGTCATTCATCCGCTATCTTTCCTAACCCCATCAATTGGTTGCTTCATCGTTGGCGATATCAATCGTCAGCGTGTTGTCATCGGACTGTTCTTGGACGGGTAAAACCGATTCAACATCTACATGTGGTCGTGGGATGACGTGGACCGATACAACTTCTCCGACTCGTGCGGCTGCTTCTGCCCCGGCATCTGTGGCTGCTTTGACAGCACCGACATCGCCACGGACCATGACCGTGACATATCCGCCGCCAATCTTTTCATAGCCGATAAGTTGAACATTCGCCGCTTTGACCATCGCGTCAGCCGCTTCGATGCTTCCAATCAATCCTCTCGTTTCAACCAAACCTAAAGCCTCTCCAGCCATAATCGATATCGTGACCTCCTGATGACAGTTATCGATTGCACTTGCTGATAACCTGCACCTCACCTGATATGACTAACCCAAGATTGCTATAGCAGTATATCACAATCTGCCAATTGATTCAAGCCTTTTTAGGATTCATCACCGACCATAAAGTTTACAAGATTACATTTTTTTATTGACAGAACTATGAAGCACGGATATTCTGTCACTTGACCAAATACCTCCACCTCTGAAATCGTTTAACTTCCTCAACATGGAGAAGCTTCATGGTACGACACGACGTTGAAATGCGCTGCGAACCAACTTTGGTTCATCGCCCTCCTTGTTTGGGTAACGGGGTGTATCCCCAATAATCCCTATCCGGCTTCCGAGCATACGCAGGAAATCTACTATAGCACCTTTTCGGAGGAACCGAAACATCTGGATCCGGCAATTTCGTACAGTTCGGGTGAGTACCGTTTTATCCAACAGATCTATGAACCCCCGCTCCAGTACCACTACCTCAAACGCCCATATCAACTTATCCCACTAACGGTTGAATCTGTGCCGAAACCGCGTTATTTTGACCCCGCAGGAAATCCCTTGCCGGATGATGTCTCCCCTGAGCAGGTTGCAACAGCGATATACGACATTCGTATCCGTCCCGGAATCCAGTATCAGCCCCATCCGTGCTTTGCAAAAGATGAAGAGGAAATTTCCGATACCATACATTGACACCTGAAGATGCAAAAGGGATCTACGAGGTCAGCGATTTCCCTGAAACGGGCACGCGGGAACTAGTCGCCGACGACTACGTCCACCAGATTAAGCGGATGGCAGATCCGAGGGTCGCTTGCCCTCTCTTGAGCCTGTTAGATAATTATATTTTGGGTATGGGAGAATATGCACAAGCATTACGAGACGCACTAGAGGCGGAGCGTAAGAAACGCCAAGCTGCGGCGGGTGCCACCTATAATCAAGCTGTCGATGAACGAGAGAATCCTATCTCCTTGGATATAGATGCCTTCTCATTTCCGGGAATCAAGGTCGTTGACCGTTACACCTATCAAATCATTCTCAAAACCAAATATCCACAATTCATTTACTGGTTGGCGATGCCTTTCTTTGCACCGATGCCCAAGGAAGTCATCGACTTTTATGAGCAGACCGCGCTGAAAGATCGGAACATCACAATCGATCGATTTCCAATCGGGACGGGTCCCTATCGTCTTGATACTTTCAAGCCACACAAGGAGATTATCCTCGTCCGCAACGAGAACTTTCGTACTGAATTATATCCTACGGAAGGAGCAATCGGCGATAGGGAAGCGGGACTGCTCGTCGATGCGGGTGCAAAATTGCCGCTGATTCCTAAAGCGATCTACAAACTGGAAAAGGAGTATATCCCCCGCTGGGCAAAATTCCTGCAAGGATATTACGATGCTTCTGGAATCTCCTCAGATACCTTTGATCAGGCGATTACGTTCTCCGAGGCCGGCGATCCACGGACAAGCGAACTTTTGCAATCCCGAAATGTTGCGCTACAGACAAATGTGGATGTAACCACATTTTATCTCGCGTTCAATATGTTGGACGATGTGGTTGGTGGTTACACTGAAGATCGGCAGAAACTTCGTCAGGCGATTTCGATCGCGCTGGACTATGAGGAATACATCGAAATATTCCTCAATGGACGCGGCATTCCTTCACACAACCCGATCCCGCCCGGTATCTTCGGATATGAGGAGGGCAAAATCAGTATCAATCCTTACGTCTATAACTGGGAAGCGCAACAGGGGGCAACCCGAAAACCGTTGGAGGAAGCGCGCCAACTCCTCGCTGAAGCGGGATACCCTGGTGGTCAGGATAAAAATGGCAATCCGCTCATCGTTCATTTTGATAACTACCGAACTGGACCGCAAGCGACCTCTTTTTTGGATTGGTTGCGTAAGCGGTTTGAACTTATCGGTATTACGTTGGATATCCGGACAACAGACTACAACCGTTTTCGGGATAAGGTAAGAAATGGCAGTTCCCAGATCCTTATGTGGGGTTGGCATGCGGACTATCCGGATCCAGAAAACTTCCTCTTTCTACTCTATGGACCGAATAGCAAGTTCAAATTTGATGGCGAGAATGTCGCCAACTACGACAATCCAGAATACAACCGGCTGTTTAATCAGATACAAAACATGGACAACTCGCCTGAGCGGCTCCAGATTATCCGGCAGATGAAGTCAATCCTCCAACGCGATGCGCCTTGGGTGTTTGCCTATCACAGCGTCAATTTTGACCTGTATCACGAATGGTTGAAAAATGGGAAGCCAAATACTACGGGATATAATACCCTCAAATATAAGCGCATTGACAGTACATTACGCGCTCAACGACAGGCAAAATGGAATCAGCCGGTCCTTTGGCCCATCTGGGGTGTCATCGGGTTTCTGATTGTTGGAACGATTCCGGCGGCGGTGACAATCTGGCGAGGGAACGCGGCAGGCAGGCGTAGAAGAATTACTGCTGTATGCCATTACTTTTGTTGGATTCCACTTCCCTCCGTCAGTACCACCCGCTGATTTACGCCGATACCGGTAAAGCGTTCGGTATCCCCGCCCAGCCAGATTACCTCAATCCAATCTACTGTAGTTTCTTGTGCTAGTCCGAACTCAGCGGTCAAGCTGTTGAAGGACAGATAGCTTGCGCCGGCGTTGATTTCACGCAGCTGTATCCGATCTCCCGCCTTGAGTCGAATCCTTGCACCCGACAGCATCACGGTTGTCTGTCGTACCAATCAGTTTGACGTGCAGCCAGTTGTTGCGATTAGCCCCCTTCGTTTCGGAGTAAAACTGCGCGGTCGTGGTTATTGACGATAAAGATATCGACATCGCCATCGCTATCGTAGTCCCCAAAAGCGACGCCGCGTCCCACTCGGTATGGCAGTGCAGCAATACCGGAAGCTGCGGATACGTCCGTGAAGAGACCATCGCCATCGTAACGAAAAAACTGATCTTTCTGCGGGATAAGCAGGTCGTAATTATCGAGATATTGGAACGTGTGCCCGTTGGCAACAAAAATATCAAGGTCGCCATCGTTATCGTAGTCGAAGAGATCCGTCCCCCACCCCACATACTTAAGGCTTTCTTCGCCGAGCGATGCACCGTACGAGTCATCAACGAGGTGGATGGGCTGTATCCCTCCCGCTTTCGAGGATTCTCCTCCCATCGCACCCTCCTCTTTCCACATGTTGCTGTATAATGCGTTTTCTTGCTCAATCCAGTGGCTCATAAAAAGGTCGAGATCGCCATCGCCATCGTAGTCACCCGTTGCAAGCCCCATTGATCCCCGAAAATCCGCCGCCCACGACGCATCGCTCACGTCTGTGAATGTGCCATCACCGTTGTTTCGGTAAAGGAAGTTGGGCGAGAGGTCATTGGCAACATAGAGTTCAAGATCGCCATCTAGATCGAAGTCCGTGAAGATAGCTTGCAAGCTGCGCCCGCCGTGGGATTCGACACCCAGTTCTGCCGTGACATCGGTGAAGGTGCCATCTCCGTTGTTGCGATATAGCACATTGTCCTGTGGCTCAAAGGAGTGGGGGTTCAATATACGCGGCACGGACTGTCCGTACTGCATTGATGTCTTTTGGTCTTCTGCTAATTTGTCGAGATCATGTTCGATATAGTTGGGAACGTAGAGGTCCAAATCTCCGTCATTATCATAATCGCCGAACGCTGTACCCGTTCCCCATCGCGTATCGCCGACCCCCGCCTTCTCGGTAAGATCTGTGAATGTACCGTCACCATTGTTGCGATACAGCACATTTGGTCCGTAGTTCGTGACATAGAGATCCAGATCTCCGTCGTTGTCATAATCACCGAAAGTACAGCCCATGCCGTAACCACGGTCACCAACATCCGCCTCCTTGGTGACATCGGTAAATGTGCCATCACCGTTGTTACGATACAACACGTTTCCCGGCGATGTCTCTGTTACTTCCGTATCGAGTGGGCCGGGGTTGTTGACTACGTACAAGTCAATGTGACCCATCATTATTGTAGTCGACGAAGGCTGCGCCAGAACCGACATCCTCGGGCAGCAAGGATGAGCGTTTCCCAGACGAGTGAACAAAGTCAATGCCTGCTGCCTCCGTGACATCTTTGAAGATAACGGGCGAATTTGAAGATTGAGCGAAGATAAGAGGGGAAATGCACAACCCTTGAATTGACAGGATTACGAAAATCCAGCCTACAAGTATCCGTTGTAAACTACCCTGTCGATCAATACTCGCTTTCAACTTTTCTTACCTTTCCAGTTCTTTCGGTTATCGCAATCGGATTCGGGGATCAACGAGCGTATAACTGATGTCCGTTAATAGCAACCCCACGATATACAGCACCGAACCCAGATAAACCATGCTGCGGACGATAGCGAAATCTTGTGCGTTGATAGCATCAATCGTAAAACTACCCAGTCCGGGAATTGAGAAAAAGTTCTCCATGACAAGACTGCCCATGAAGAGAAATGGAATTGCTAACATCACACTTGTCAAGATGGGGATCATCGCATTCTTCAAGGCGTGCTTGAACAGCACAACACCTTCGCCGAGTCCCTTTGCGCGTGCAGTGCGCACATAGTCTCGATTCACCTCTTCGAGGAAAATGGTTCGGTAGAAGCGGACGCCGGTGCCAATACCACTAATGACGCCGATGACCGCGGGTAGAAAAACAAACTTCAGCATATTCACGCCGGTGTCATAGCCGGAAATCGGGAAAAGACGGAGCATCTTGCCAAAGAACCACTGCCCGGCGATGATATAAAAGAGCGTGGAGATTGACATCAGAATCACGGCAACAATAGTTCCCCAGAAATCGACATAGGTTGCACGATAGTAAGCGATGATCATCGAAAAGGTGATATTGACAAGCAAGCCTATGATGAATGTCGGTATAGCGATGGCAAGGCTTGCCCACATCCGGTGGGAGATCTGGTAACCGATGTCAATATTGTTTCGATCTGACTTG